CAAGTTTTCGTGGATCGGGCGGACACCATTGGCTGTGTAGGAGGTATGTAAAACACGCCCATTTCGTTGCCGTGATAGTGACCTCCCTAGCTCCTTGAAGACACTTTCACCACTCAACACAGATGAAGTCCGGTCCCATGTCATGGGCTCGATAGATAAATTCAGGTGTTCGGTGACTGAGCGAGACACTGCAGAAGCGGGTAATGGCTTGACCAATGGGGTCAGAAGCAACAATTCCTCACTGGGCTCAAGAATGTTGGACAGGGGTAGAAGAGCTTTTTTATCTCGAACGACAGTTATAGAGCTGTTGTACGCTCTAGTGGAAAGAGTAGTATGGGAAGGTTGCATCTGAGTGAGTGAGGAAAGACCCGGAGGATTGAGAGCCTGTTCCCAGGAGGTGCATTTCGCCTTCAAGCTCAAAACTCTGCGTAATGACTGTTCTATACGAGCTCTGCCAATAATGCCGTTCTCCACACCAAGCTTTAATCCAGTGATCGCCTCCTGTTGCACCGGGAATGACCTGCAGAGAAGAATGATATCGCACCCCGCCTTCTTTGCCATGACTGTCCCACCACCCACCCCGATATTATGAGTGAGGGCTTCCATCTCCAGGCATTCTGAAACCACCACACCGTCGAATTTCATCTTCTTGCGCAACAGATCATCGACAACTTGCTCACTCAGGCAGGCATGCATCACGTGGAACCCAGCAGACGACATAGAAACACCTCCCACCATCATAGAATCAATTCCATGGAGTATGGCATTTCGAAATGGAACTAGTGCGCTCAAGCTGAGTTGTTCTAGCGACTCGGTGATAATAGGGACGTCTGACTGGGATCCAAGAAATTCAAGGTTACCATATGATGGGAAATGTTTGCCGCATGTCACCAACCCTGCTTCCTTATAGCCCTTCATGAATTCCACTCCGTATTGCGATACCTCTTGGGGGTCATCGCCCGTGGTACGAACTCCCAAGGGTTGGCTTCGTACGTTGGTCAAGACATCTAACACGGGGCCGAGAATCCAGTTGACTCCTACAGCTTTCAGTTCTTGGGCAGTTGCAACAGCGACATCATGGGCGAGAGCTTTCGAGCCTGTCGCAGCGATGCCCATTGCGCTAGGAAATTGTCGGACGTATATCTCATCGTAGAGACTATTCACACCTCCATTTTCCTGGTCCAAGGCGATGAGCAATGGCACTGGATGACCGGCATCCCGAGCGATTGTTTGGAGCTCGAGCACTAGTCGCGTCGCATCTTCTGCAGCTAGAAGTAAATTAGTGGTTATCGTACATGTGATGCGGCCGTAGGAAGGTAAGATAGATACGAGAGTAGGATCAACAGTGAGAGAGGAAGGCAGAGATACATTTCAAGTTCTTGGCAGTCAGTAGGATTGAGCCCAAGTGATAATTCTCAATGAGAGAGCGAATTTGAGGATCAACGGACGTTCCATCAAAGCCCATCATAAAGAGCTGCCCCATCTGCCTGTCAGGAAAGCCATAGTACTCAAATCGTTAGCGAGGATCATTTATCCGGTAAAGGGAAAATAAAATCAATGTAGCGGATAAGGATCAGAAATCCGGTAACCAAAAGTGGGAAAGAAAAGGAGAAAGGTGATATGAGATGAAATGGAACAAGGACAGATTGGGAAAGGCAAAAGGTGAATAGCTGCAATCGGCCGTGACCTCTCCGCAAGCGGTGGTGCACAGTCCACGATGGAGAACCGCGTGCCTGACAGAATTGCTGCATACCTGTCTAGATCATCCCAGCCAGGGGGCAGCATGTCCTCTCTTGGGGCCATGAGGGCCCTGAATAAGGAATGCCAGCTTAAAATCTAACACAATGAAATGGGCAAGAGTGATCTGGCCCACACAGTGACCATCAGGTTTCCAAGATCGATATCGGGTGGGCAAAGGATTAGGTTGGGACGCGCCGCAAACGATGTCGGAGAATACGGCAAGGGCTAAAACCGGCAGTTGGATACTACAGATCAACTTAGGAATAGGGTAGTTAGGATTCATCCGAGCATGACCAGGGGCAAATGACTGGACGGGTCACTTGTGCAAGGCTGCAAGCTATGAGCAGGAGCTTCAACGGGTGGTGGTCAGTGCGTAACGAATGATATTGCATGGAGAGTGTGGGGGCGAGGAGAAGAAAGATTTCAGGTCAAGAATAGTATAGTTAGTACGTAGTACGGAGTACTTGAAGTGGTCTCGAGTACTGGAATGGGTAAAACTTTCTTGGACATTCGTTCTAGGAAAAGAGGTGTCGGTGCAGCAACCACAATGATACTCCGCGAAAATTTTTTTTCCCCCTTCACACTGGTACAATAGAAGCAATATTCCCTAGGTTGAAATATCCTTGGCAGTATTGGAACCCGAATTCTGTTGAGGGCATCGGAAAGCCGGGGGTCACCTGGTCAGATCACGTGTAAATTTTCGTTCTTGTGTGATACCATTATTTCTTGTCGTACCATACAAAACTATTATAACCACTTTACGTACTAGTCAATACGTGTATTGACATCAGATTACAAAAAATTCCCGCCTACCTGCCGAGAGTCCCATCAATCGATACGACGCCACGGCAGATAAGAGAGGGTTGCATGGGGGTTCCGATCCCTTCCCCGGTTTCCCGATCCTACCGAATGCAACGGCACTGTCAAGCAATTCAAACTGTGATTTGCCATTCCATTATAGGCTTAGTGCCCCAGTGCAGCTCCAGTTGACATTTGTACTATGCCACCCCCTCGTGCAACATTACGTTGAAGTGAAGGATGGACTTGTCATCTTCACTGTTTCCTAGGTAGCTAGGGTACAATCCATGACAAAGGTTGTTCATTTCCTGACGCGGACACGACTGGTTGATTGGATAACCAGTGGGAAGTGTATGCGTCATCAGTCCACTGCAACGATGCTACTCTTTCCTCGGCAACAATGGTATTGAACTGGAACATACAGGAAGGCGAAGAGTTGGGAACTGAACTCCATGGGGCATACCCCGTTGTATATCTTGTTTATCGCGTCTTGGTAGAGACTGTATGGATATGGATTGTTACTACTCTTTCCGGCACGGGCCTCCATTCGGGTCAAGTGACATTCATTCCTCATGGCCGGGGGAGAGGAATAAAAATCAGATTGTGATAAGACGGTGGTAAAGGCAGTATCATGCCGTAACACTCCACAGCCGATCCCATGGCCTGCCAGGTAACTGTAACAGGTCCATTGGTGGATGGGGCAGATGGCCACCTCGACTTTCTCCCATATTAGTACTCACTTGCCTCTTTGTCCACAGTCCCCTTCTTCTCATGCTCTTCATATTTCTCCCTTCTCCAAGATATCTTTGAGTCCTTTCCCTATACCAAACATCTTTGATTGCCTGAATATATATCCTTCATATTTCGGGAAAGAAAAGCCCCAGGTTTATTCGAAGACTCTCGTCTCTGCCCCACTACGTTATCGGTGACGTAGCCTAGTTCATCATGTATGGCACTATCTGTCTTTCCTTAGGCTGGGTTGAACTAGGCCCCAAGCTAACCATGTCCCTTCTGTGTTCAGGAGAGTGATCATCAGAGAAACCGCCTTGGAGGCTTCAGAGTACATCGCCGACTATATCATCAGTATGTCGTTGCCTCAGTTGGCATCCATGATGGCTTGGGCTCTTTCTGACTTTACGCTCTCATAGGTCGCATCAAGGCCTTTAAGCCGACACAAGATCAGCCATTTGTTCTTGGTCTTCCGACGGGGAGTAGTCCCGAAGTAATCTACAAGACCCTCGTGCAACGTCACAGAGCAGGAGACGTCTCCTTCAAGAATGTTGTGACCTTCAATATGGTAGGTTTCCGATATTTGCTGAAACCACACCCTCTATCAATGACATCAAGTCGTGTGCTAATTGCCGCAGGATGAATATGTTGGGTTACCTCGCGACCACCCTCAATCATACCACAGCTTCATGTATAAACATTTCTTCTCTCATGTTGACATCTCGCCTCAGAATATCAATATTCTTGATGGGAACGCTGCAGATCTCGCTGCTGAATGCGCGTCTTTTGAGGCGAAGATCGCTCGCTACGGCGGTATCGAGCTCTTCCTGGGTGGTGTAGGCCCAGACGGACACATCGCATTCAACGAGCCAGGATCGTCACTCAGCAGTCGCACTCGAGTTAAGACCCTGGCTTATGACACAATCTTGGCAAACTCCAGGTTCTTTGGTGGAGATGTGGACAAGGTACCCCGGATGTCCTTGACCGTCGGTATCCAAACCATCATGGAAGCTCGGGAGGTCGTTATTGTGGCTACTGGCGCCCACAAGGCACTGGCAGTGGAGAAGGGCCTCGAAGGTGGTGTAAATCATATGTGGACACTTTCAGCCCTCCAGTTGCACCAACATCCGCTGATCGTATGTGATCGTGATGCGACTCTGGAACTCAAAGTCAAGACAGTCCGATATTTTGAGGCGATTGAAAAATCCGGTACTGATGCGCGTACTCAAGGGCCGCCTCTTGTTTACCGGCCGAGGACCTATGTACCTGCTCCTATGGGGGCGAGCAAAACGAATCAGCAACCCACCCCAGCGTCGACACCGCCAAGGGTCCCCAAGGATCTGAGAATCAATACTCAGCTCAACCAGACGTTAGATGACGAGGAATTGACGCCTGATAGCATGTCTTCCCGAATGGTCGATTCAGCCATCAGTGGACTCGACTCGACCTTGAAGGGGGATCTGATGTTTGACCGCATGGGCACTAGAGTCATCTCGCACTGATCAAACTCAGCGACCAAGATATTATAAGACGTTCACTGATGGCTAGGTGAAAGCGCTCTGAGTTGGTACGTTGCCATCGACAAGGTATCCGGGCTACAAGTAAATTTGCCGATAAAGCGCTTTATTTTGTTTCATTTGCTCTGGAGTAAGGTACATTTTTTGATTTGATAGCCTGGATGGACATACCAGGTACTTTTTTTTAACCAATATTCATAGACGGCTTGGTGTTTCTATCCCTACCTAACGAACTTTTTCATAAAAGATAGATTAGACAATAATGAGATTAGACTGTGTTTGCATGGAATTACGTGGTTGATTTCATTTTATTCATGTCGTAAAGTGTGTATTGTGCATTTTAAGGTTCATATATCTTGAGTCATTTATATACCGCGGAGCGCTCAGGAAACGTATAGACATAAGTGGCGGCCCAACCTATCTAAGAACATTTGTGCCAGTCATCGACCTAGAGCTTAGCAAATACAGTTGCGACGGCACCATTCATGTCGACAAGGGTGCTTTTGTTCTTCACCCAAGCTTCAATGCCCCTACGGCCGTTCTCAACGCCGAGGCCGCTCTTCTTCCACCCACCAACTGCCATTTCAGCTGGGCTTTCACCCCAGGTATTCACCCATGTGATACCCGCCTGAAGTTGGTCGATAACGCGATGGGCCAAGTTGACATCCTTGGTAAAGACGCCTGCCGCCAGACCAAGTTCGGTATTGTTGGCCCGTCGGACTGCTTCCTCAATGGTATCGTAGTACAAGATCGACATTACGGGACCAAATATCTCCTCCTTAACAATAAGCATGTCATCCTTGCAATCAGTGAAGATTGTGGGCTGAACCCAGAATCCGTTCACTAACTCCTTTGAAACTTGAGGCTTGCCGAGCCCGCCGTAAAGGAGGGTGGCCTTGTCCGTCTCGATACCATGACGGATATATGATATCACCTTCTCAAGATGGACGGCGGAGCTTAAGGGGCCGAAGTTGGTAGCTTCATCGAACAAGGGGCCGGGGCGAATGTACTGCATCTTTTCGAGCAGGCGGCTTTCAAAAGCTGCCTTCATGCTAGAAGGCACAAACACACGGGTGCCATTGGTACAGACCTGACCGGTGCTGTAGAAGTTGGCCATCATAGCTCCATCAACGGCGTTTTCAAGCTCTGCATCAGGGAGGATAACCAGAGGGCTTTTCCCTCCAAGTTCCATGGTCACGTATTTCATGTGGCCAGCGGCAGAACCGGCGACCTTCATTCCAGTGGCCACTTGGCCAGTAAAGGAAACCTTGGCAATTGTTGGGTGGGAGGTCAGGTAGGCACCAACATCACCGGCGCCATAAACAATGTTGAACACACCATCAGGAAGTCCAGCTTCCTTGTAAATCTCTGCCAGAGTCTGCGCATGAAGCGGCGTGAATTCACTGGGCTTGTAGATCATGGTGTTTCCAGCAGCAAGGCAAGGGGCTGATTTCCAGAGGGCACTGTTTCAGTTAGTCACGATTCAAGCTGTGGTGCGGGTAAAACTGCGCTGGCAATACCCAATCGGATGTCATACATTTGAATGGGATAATTCCATGCACCAATTCCTGCGCAGACTCCCAAGGGAGCCTTTTTAGTGAACACCCAAGCGTCTTCTCTCAGCTGAGTGGTCTCCCCGTTCAAACCACCACCCCCAACAAGGTTCGCATAGTACTCCAAAACATCCGCACCTGTGACAACATCCACTGTACTGGTCTCTGTGAAAGCCTTTCCAGAATCTAAAGATTCGACCCGAGCGATTTCGTCATTTCGTTCACGGAGTATGAGAGACGCCTTCTGGAGAATACGTGCGCGAGCAATAGGAGGGGTTTGTGACCAGTGGGTAAATGCTCGATCGGCGGCAGCGATAGCTGCATCAATATCAGAATGGGAGGCAACTTGTATTTCGGCAAGCGGGGTGGCATCAGAAGGGTTGACGGATTGAAAAGTCTTGCCGGACGAGGCAGACTGAACTTTGCCGTCATAGAAGAGTTGGCGCGGAGGGAGAGGAAAGGACGACATGGTAGGCGTCAATATTAAACTGGTAAAATATTAGTTTTCTAAGAGGGGGTGAAGGGAGGAGGGGAGTTCATATGTAAGACTTCCAGTTGTGCCAATTTATATCATACTACGAACTATGGTATCTTCTCGGAATGACGGAGGAGCAGGGAAAAAAATGTTGTCAGGAGGAAGACCTTAAGCTTTTACGTACTCCAGACCGCCAAAGCTATGATTCGCTACCCCTCACCTATATCTGGATCTTCGGCGGCAAACTGAAGAGCAGAAAAACTTTTTTGTTTCTGTGTTTTGTTAGCTCTTTCGCCTTCTTCCTCTTCTTCCCCGGTCGGGACCTCGGTAACCTTCCAAACCAGGGAAAATAACCATTAAACGTTTCCAATTACATGGAAGAAATGGCAGCACTGCCATTCTTCTACCTATTTCGGAATTCTTACGCATCATCCAAGGGCAGTGTTATCTCGATATTCAAATTGTGGATATTCTCCGTTGAGCTGCCTTGTTGGGTTAACGGTTGGCCCGTGCATTCGTTCGTGGCGTAATTTAGCGCGAAACCTCGTGTGGGGTTTGACGTCGTGAGGCGGAAGAGAAGTTTCATGGAACTGTGCTCCGTATATAGAAGGGACGTTCGATTATCAAGTAACATAGCGAGTCATGCCTTTGCTATCGATTGATATTATCTCCAGTAGATGGAAAGAGCAGTAGTGGCTCAACCTAGCATAACTTCTCCGATTTGCCGGGTGCTTCAATACTGAATTTTCGATCGTCTCGGACATCAATTAAGATGGATGGATACTGATCAACGATTCTCGATGCAGATTCTCTATTATCTAATCTGCAGTGGCGGCTCCACTTTCAACACTTCCATTCACCGCCATTGGTTAACTCATTCCTTTCCAGGTGACCCGCCGAAGGGATCCAAAAGTAGGTAAAGATTGGAATCATGAGAAAGGAAAAAAAAAAAAGAGTTTGTCAGTAAGAAAGAAGTGGTGGTCTGATGGCCGATGGCCGACGGCCTGCATCACCGCATAATTCCTTCCTCCAATTTAAAAGTCGGAGTTATCTCCTCTCTTTTTCTCTTCTTTTTCCCTCAAATCATACCTCCTCTTCTCTCAGCCCTCTCCCCTCTTACCTATATCTTCTTGTATTTTTAAGTGGATTCTTGTACCTTTCTCAACATGGCTACCACGAATGATTTCCCGGCCGGTGATGTCAACAGCTACGACTATATCATCGTTGGAGGTGGCACGGCAGGCTGTGTCATTGCCAGCCGTCTGGCGCAGTACTTGCCCAACAAGCGTATCCTTGTCATCGAAGGTGGTCCCAGCGACTTCAACGATGACAGGGTTCTCAATTTGAGAGAGTGGCTCAATCTGCTGGGAGGCGAGTTGGACTACGACTATCCTACTACCGAGCAGCCCATGGGTATGTTACACGCCGCTATCTTTGTTTTTTTTTTTTTTTTTTTTTTTTTTTTTTTTTTTTTTTTTTTTTT